TCCAACAATTCTAATTAAAGAGTTCTATTGATACAGCAGCATCTTTTTTCGTGTCCCTGTTGTGATTTCGATCTTTTCTTCGGAAAACCTCCGTGTGATCATTTTCACTGTCTCGTTCCTGAATCTCGATTCGTTCCCTTCTACGGTCTCGATAATGCACGCTTTGATTTCATTACGGTGATATTTCCTACGGACCGCAGGATCATAACAAAATTAGTGCGTGCACGTTAATTGGAAGTTTATCTAGCTGTATTATAAACGAGCTTGTGTAGTCTCGTAAACGGCCAGACCGGCGTGTGGATCGTTTTTGAGGCCTTCGAGGAGAAAGGGATACAAAACGAAACGATCGACGTGTGCGTCCATTAGACTGTCCAGTTCGTTATCGTAGTATTTTGTCCTACTCAGCGAGTCGCGGATAACACCCGACGATCCACTCAACGTGAATTATCGCGGGGAAAAAACGCGATCGCCTCGTGCAAATCGAGCCTTATTTTCGTTTTCTTAATTGTAATTGTTTTTGAGATTATTACTAGAGATCTCAATATTATCATATAATGACGCATATAATATAATCGCGCGTTATTGGAAACGTATTTTGAAACAGACGCCGAATTTTCTTTTTCAAAATATATTAGAGCGTCACCGAGTCGAAATTTTGATTCCACATTAATCCTGTAAATTCCGTCGAGCTTGAAGGACCAATGAAGAATCTCCAGTATTTAACATATTATATAAATTGTTATCCTACCTTAATGATACAAATGGTTATTACCGTTTTTTCTGTAGAGGAAAACCCATTTCAAAATTATTTAACATTCGATTACCTCACAGTATATATTCCACTTTGATTTGATTTTCATTCTTAATTTCGGTTAATAGTATATTAATTAGATAATTTACCTAACCGTTAGTAGACTCTATGTCAGAGATAAATGTTAAATAATCCAACAAGGATTAATGAGTAAATCAATAAAAGGAACAACAAATTGTTATCTTCACGATGTTCTCTTCATTGTTCTTTTTTTGTTTTTCTTGTAGCTCGATGGAGCTCTTAAAAGAGCTGATAAGAAGCTGCAAAGGCAACCATAACAGTTTTATGTATCCAATAATGCTTTATACTAATAGAGATTTAAATTTGGATTGCGTGCCGTAGCAAAATAACAAACACAGACGCGAAAAGAAGGCATTGGCGGATGTAAACAAGACTGTACTCTCGCGGCCCAAGAAGCATTATTAGACGTATAAATCACAACTTGATATTTTCATCAGATTATAAGGCCGATATTCATAATTGTAAATTTTTTACGATCTTTGATTATAATTCATTACAGATTTATGGATAATTCTATTCGGCTGTTTGGATTAAACATTCAAATCGGGTATTTGAGTGTTTAATAAATATCTATTGAAGTTTTTCTAGACACGCGCAACTGTTATTTTTTCCCGTATTTTTCACTCTTTTGGAATCTTCATTCTATCCATATTTTCAATAAAATAGTAATATAGTCACATACACACATACACACACAATAAGAAATAGTAATGAGCAGATTACGGAGAGAGCAAATTTGTTATTTTAGTTAGTCGTTTCTCTCTTGGATTATTTTACATAATGCTTATTTGTTTCTTATGTTTACTGCGCGTATTGGAGTTTGCAGGAAGTAATAAATTGATAAAATAAATATTCATAAAAAAATATCGTTAGAGTATTTATTTTTTGGTTTCTTGCAAACTCCGATTCGCGCAACAAGCGTTACGTTGCCGTTGTACATGGTGGACGACGATACACAAGTTCACGTACGCTCGCGTGTGCACGTCTCGTATATACCAGCGGTTAATACACGAGGCAACAGGAGAAGAAGAAGAAACACACGGGAGGGCCGGGTAGTCGGCAATCTTCATTGAAGATCGCCCGGCAAGCTGGCAAGCGGTCGCACGGCCATCATTGTCGGGAGAGAGAGAGAGAGGAAGCAAGAAGAAGAGAACACAGAAGTCGATCGGGAGGAAACGCGCGGATTCGAAGGGGAGACCGTGAATCCCGGAGAGCGTGCGCGGATCCGGTTAACGTTCAAATATTTGCGCGCAGCGCCGTTTTAGCGATTCGCGAGCGAAACGCGAACACGACTCTCGCGAAAAGAATACGAGCAGCGTGACGATTATTTTGCAGCCGCTTAGGAGGAGAAAGAGTCGATGTCCATTTCTTCGGGTCACCCTCGTACTAACTGACCCGTGTAATAAGTAATTTCGGATTTTTCAGATTAAATGAAACTAGTGAAATTTGCGTATTTTTGTGTCGCTATAATTTTATGAAACAATGTTTGTGCCATTTTGATTTGCAATCCTCTGCCATATTATTTCACAGAACTACGAGTAATAAATCACTTTTAATTAATTCTCATGCTTAATTGACTCGTGCCAATACAACTGGAGGCCGCTTGTTCAATTGACGATTGTTTTCAACAAGTTCGATCAAAGATCGTTCGAGTGACAATTGATTTCAACGAATTCAATTGGAGACTGACGATGGATACGAGCGAAGAGAATCAACGATCGTGCAATTAACAATTTAACTTAGCAAATTTGATTAAAGTTTCGTTGACGATTGAATTTAGCAAATTTAATTAAAGGCCACTTACGATCAGTTATTATGATGAGAGAAATTTAATTGATATTTTTACAACTGCATTGTTTCCTTTTATAACGACATGGAAATAAGATCGTCTCATTTTATATTTGAAAACATATATATATATATATATATATATATATATATATATATATATATATATATATATATATATATA